GGTCTGGAGGCTCCTGCTTGATGGGCCGGCTGCCGAAACAGTTCTGTGCAAACGACGGCGCCTCCTCCGAGCCCGAGCTAGTCCTGTGCGCCCCGGCCGTCGCCGCCGCTGCTTTCTGCTGGCTGGCGTAGCGGTTGGCTCGCTCGTAGGTGCGCTGGTGATGGTTTTTGCTCCGCACGCCGTGCGGGATGGGCTCAGGGAAACCGCCGCTCCCGTAGGTGTGGTTGAGGTTCTCCTGCAGCGCCGACACGTCGGGCTTCTTCTCGTAGCCGTTGCTCACCCAGCCACTCCCGCTCCTCTCGGGCGCCCCGTAATTGAGAAACTGCGAGGGGAACACGTGGTTGCTGGAAAAGCCGTAATACCCGAAGGAGGGGAGCGCGAACTTGGAATGAAACCCGTTCACGGAAGGCAGATTGGGCTGTGCATAGTAGGAATGGTAAGAGTAAACACTGTTCATGCTGTACGGGTCGGAGGGCCGGCAGCTGCCCAGCACCGAGTAGCTCTCCACCACCGCGTTGCCGTTGTACTTGAAGGCGTTGTAATGGCTCTGGGGTTCCACCTTGATGGAAGGTTTCAGCGGCTGCGGGGGTAGCCCGCCTTTCAACGCCATACCTGTGGGACAGCACACACAGCCCCGGTGACCCGCCGGCCGAGGGAGACACCGGAGGGGAGCCAGGACCCCGAAACAGTCGGAATCGCCACGGTGATGGGTTTGCAGCCAGCTGCAGAGGTTGGCATCGCTTGCCATCGCCTGGTGCAGCGGCATCGATTCGCGCCTTTGTGAAAAACCCACAGAGGCGCCGTCCAGCACCACAAACACAGCCCAAAAAAGTCCCCGACCACATCCCCGTCCCCTCACGCGCTCTCCGGACGGCTCGGGGCAGCAGCACCTCACCTCTGCCCCCGTTACCTGCATTTGGCTGGAGTGTGGGGAGCTCGAGCGCTTCCTGCTTGATCTTCTCCGGCGTCATCAGCTTCTCTTTCTGCAGCTTCTTCCTCTCGGCAGCAGCTCTCCTGGCCTCCAGCTGCCGCTGCCGGCAGGACTTGGCGGGCTCGGGCAGCTTGCGGACCTCGCGGGGGAAGGATGTGAGCACCTGGATGGCCCCGCTGCCCACCTTGGCGTTTTGGTTCTCCTCACTGCCGAACTCATCCGTGCTGGACATCTTGTAGAGGGGGAGGACGTGCAGCTGCTCATCTTCGGGAATTTTCCCCACCACACGATTGTCTTCCTTCGTCAGCGTGCAGACCTGGCCGGGGCAGGTGTTGTCAGTGGGATGTGGCCGGTGCTGGATGAACCAAACCTCCTCCCATTTCTCCCCCACACTGGCGTGAAGCCACACCAGCCTGGCATCCCCCCAGCCTGCTCTGATCCCAGCCGGAATTTGGAAACCTCCCACGGGGTTTGGGTCGGACAGAAGTCGGTGCTGGCTCCTGTTAGACCTGAGCAGCTCATGTGAGCTGTGCCCACACTGAAAACACGGAGCCACGAGGGGTGGGACAGCTGGGGATGACGCCCCACAAACAGGAGCACCCCAAATTAAGTGGGGAGCACCTCAAAAAGCCCCGCCTGGCGCCTGCTTACCACGGTGCAGCCGTTGTAGAGGTTATGCTGGTCCTTGTGAGCGTGAGCACAGAAGTCCATGCACGCTGTCACCCCCGAGAACGGCCTCCCCTCCTTCAAGCCCAGCCGGCAGTCGATCGCCACGTCCTCGTTGGTGACCTGTGCAAGGAGGAGCCGGTCACCCAAAATCCCCAAGGCCACCACCCCGCACCCATTCCAGCCGTGGGGCCGCCGTGGCCGAGGGATGGCGTGACCAGGACCTGGTTTTGGTAGGCTTGCGGTGCCAGCCTCTTGTAAAGCGGAGCAACCTCGGTGGCCAAGTCCTGAAAGCTTCTCCGAAGCAGCTCTTCCTGCGGTAGGGAAAAGGGGAGGAGATTACCCGGGGGATTCAGGGATGGAACTGGGGACAGAGCCCACGGACACCACACGGCACCCAGCACTTCCCACGATATCTCAAATTCCTCGTGAGGATTTGGCCGCTCAACCTCCAATGTCTGCTGTGCTTCGACTCACTCGACCAAAGAGCCCTCTGGCTCCTCCCTGGGATTCTACAGAAGCCCCATTCTTGCCACCTTTCTCCTCCTCATCTCTCCACTCCACAAAACACCCCACAAGGAATCCAATTTTCAGAGACCTGAAAGGAAAGGAGCTCCAAGCCACCACCCCACTGGCACTGTCTACCCCATCACCCACCTCTTTGGGATTGTCTCCCACCAGCCTGAACTTGCGGGGAGTTTTGCTGCGGGCGTATTTGCAGCCGTTGAAGTACATGCTCCAGGAGCAGCCGAAGGAGAAGGAAGCGCCGCAGGTGTTGGGGTCCTTGCCTTGGCACGCGCAGGTCCGGCTGCGGGGAGGGGACACGGCGCAGGAGCGTCAGCACCGGTGCCGTGCGGCGTCTGGGAATGGGAGGGAGCCCCGCATCCCATTCCCACACCCTGGTCCTGCATCCCATTCCCACACCCTGGTCCTGCATCCCATTCCCACACCCTTTTCCTGCACCCCATTTCCATATCCCATTCCCACATCCCATTCCCACACCCTGGTCCTGCATCCCATTTCCATATCCCATTCCCATATCCCATTCCCACACCCTGTTCCTGCATCCCATTCCCACATCCCATTCCCACGCTTCGTCCCCACATCCCATTCCCACATCCCATTCCCATATCCCATTCCCACACCCTGTTCCCGCATCCCATTCCCACACTTTGTCCCCACATCCCATTCCTGTACCCCGTTCCCACCTCCCGTTCCCGCCCCGTGTCCCCGGCCCGGGCTGGTGTCACTCACTCGTCGTTGAGGCCGCAGCGGCGGCTGGTGGGGTTGCCGTACTTGGTGAGGGTGTCGGTGAGCTCCTGGTACAGCGTGTCCCCCAGCGTGCGGGGGATGCCCTCCCAGGCCAGGATGAGGATGATGATGACGGCGTTCTGGCAGTGGTGGCCGGCCCGGTGCCGCACCAGGCACAGCAGTTTCTCCTCTTGGTTGTGTCTGCGGATCACCTGGGAACCAGAGGGGCCGAGTCAGACCGATAAACACCTCCTGGGGTGGGGAGGGTCCCCACAGGGGTGTCCTGGATGACCTGGGGGCCCTCCCCAGAGCTGGGCACGTTCCCCTGGCTGCGTTCCCCCCGTGGGATTGGGGAGCTGCCGTTCCACAGGTGCCGAGGGCAGGAAGCCAGGTTTCCCTGGGGGTGGACACAACTCTCACTTCCTCCTTCCCGGCCACAAACCCAGCGTCCCTCCCCTGCCCACCGCGGCCACGGCAGCTGGGGGAGCTCCTGGTGCCCAGCACGGAGGGGACGAGCTCGGGGAGGCTGAGATGGGGACGAGGGGCACTCACCCACTTGGCGATGGGGCAGCCCCGGGAGCTCTTGCCCTCCTTGCCCGTGTAGATGACCTTCTCGATGCGGATGGCCTTGCCCTTCTCGCCGTACCTGCCGGGGGATGGCCGTCAGCCCCACGGCCCCACACGCACGGGAGCCCCACGCGCCTTCGTGGGCCCCTCAGGAGCCCCCACTCACCTCACAAACCCACACTTCCCTGACAGGACCCCACTCACCTCACAAACCCACACTTCCCTGACAGGACCCCACTCACCTCACAAACCCAAACCCACACTTCCCTGACAGGACCCCACTCACTCTCTGAAGCCCCCAGTCCCCTGACAGGACCCCACTCGCCCTCTGAAGCCCCCAGACCCCTGGCAGGACCCCAGCCCCTCCTGCACTCGCAGCCCCCGTGCCGGGCCCCGCGGCGAGGGGCTCTTACCGCTCCTCCATCAGCTCCCGGATGGAGGCCACGGTGGGCCCCGAGCCCAGGTGGGTGTAGTACGGCCCCTCGTCCTTCTCCACGATTTGCTCTGCAGACACAGGAGCGGGGACAGACAGAGATTTTGGGCTTTGCACCTTTGCTGGCTGGCCCGAACGACACCGGGATACAACCCTGGAACCAACACCCCCCTCACACAACCAAACCCCTGGGGGCTTCCAGGGCACGAAGGGGAAGCGAGGGATGCGCCAAGCATCCAGCCCACGGGGATGTGCTGCCGGCTGGGGCTGATGGCTGCTCTCACCGCCCTGATTTCCATTCCTGTCGTGTCCAGCTGGCCAGGAGCCAGCCCGAGGAGAAAGCCGGGCTCAGCTGGGCTGCAGCTGTCCAGACAGGGATCAATACGGGATGTGTGGAAAAGGCTCGTTTTATTACAGCACCCGCACCCAATAAAGCAGCGAGCCCGGCTCCTGCTGCATTTCTTTCTCCCACAGTTGGGAAAACAGAGAAGGGGAAGGAGGGGGAATCCCCCCTCTCCCAACCCCTAAATAAATCTTTTCCTGGCAAACTCCGAGACTGGGTTTGGGCGGCTTCAGAAACTCCTCTCTGCAGAGTTTGGGCTCATTCCTGCTGCCATTTACAAGCCAATTAATAAATAATCATAAACCCCACTAATCAAGTGCAGCTTGGGCCTCCTCTTCCCAGCAGTGAGGGGGTCGTTTTTCCAGCTGGATGCCCCAAATCCTCACCCTGCTGCTCCCAGGGGAGCCCACAGCTCCAGTCTGAATACTGGGGAGGCAATACCCAGCTCCCTCAGACTGGGTAGGAATTCTCTAGCACTTGCTGCACTAACAAATACCAATACAAATACTAATACTAACAAATGCCAATACACAGTGAAGAAAAAAACCACAAAAAAAACAAAAACAAAAACCCACAAATCCAAGAGTTTGGTGATTTTCCGATGCATCCCGGTGGGATTGGCCAGCAAAGAAGGCAGCAGCAAGTATTTCTCCAGTGATAAGCACAAGCATTAAAGTTTGGGTTACTCAGAGTAACCTGAACCAGCTCATTTGGCTGAAAGTACCAGGAATAACCAGGTGAGAGGGAGGTTTAGGTGGATTTTGGCACTGGGGCCACCATGGATTCATGAGATTCAGCTGGTTTAGGTTAAACAGGAGGAAAACTCAGCGTTCCTTTGGTTTTGCTGCTCATCCAAACCCCGCACCGGCAGTGACTCGAGATTTCCATCCAAATGTAAGAGAGGAGAAGACAAAAGGGAGCTCCACAGCACCAGGGTTTTATCCCCCCAGAAATGGGATCTTTGCTGGTGCAAAACCACCCAGGTCGATAATCCCACCCTGCCAAGCCACCTCCTCACACCCCCCCAGCGCGGCCCCTCGCTCACCAACGCAGTCACAGGTGGGGAACTCCGCCTGTGCCCTCTTGGCCGGGGTGTCCAGGAGGCTTTTGGTCGGCGTGTCCAGGTATTTCAGCGGAGACTCCAAGAAGCCGCTCAGGGTGGGCGTCAGCGGCACCTCGTCCTTGGTGGGTGTTCTGTCGACGTCGTCCACGTCCGGGTTTTGGCTTTCCTCAGAGTAAAAACACGTGGTGGACACCACGGTGATAGCACCAGAAGACTCGATTTTGATCTGTTTGGGGGAGCGGGCGGTGAAGGGTGGCTCTGACAGCAGCCCCTTCCCTGGAGAGATGCTTTTGGGTCCGGCTTGGGGAGCGCTGCTCGGGGCCGGGGCGGCGGCGGCGGTGGTGGGGGACCCTTGAGGGGCTGGTGCTGGCTCCCCCGGCAGCTCAGCAGCCCCAGGAGCGAGCAGCGCGGGCGTTTCGGGGGGCGGCAGGTTGAAATTCTCCCCAAACTCAGCTTCAAATTGCCGGATCAGCTCTTCCAACTTGTCATCCACCATGATGGGGGCTGAGGTGGCCGGCGGGGGCGCAGCCGGCGCTTCCTCCGAGCCCGCCGGCGCCGAGTGAATTTGGGGGCCCCCCCCGGGGGCACCCCTTTCCTGAGAGTCGGAAGCCGGGGGGACGCCGTCCAGGGGGT